TTTTTTTTCTTTCTTGCAAGTCCAAATCTCGCAATTTGGCCTTTTCTTCTAAGAATTGCGCGATTAAAAATCTGTAAAAAAATTGGCATTTTTATTTATTTATTTATTCTGTGGTGATGATAATCTTCCATACAAAATACACTTGAAGTAATAAAGCTACATTGTCTGATAACAATTATTAATATCTATGCAGTGTTGCTTCTCAATTTTTTAAAAACGATACTTAGATATATACTTATTACGAATTATGTATTGTATTCCTGTGTGGAAAATTTTAGCTATGACTGCCGACAAAGGCATAAAAGTCTTTTTACCTTCAATACAGACATATATCTATAAAAAGGAAATGAAAAAGTTGAATATGAAAAATGAAAAAAAAAAAAAAAAAAAGAAGAAATTTATCTTTTTACTTCAATACAGACATATATCTATAAAAAGGAAATGAAAAAGTTGAATATGAAAAATGAAAAAAAAAAAAAAAAAGAAGTAATTTATCTTTTTAAGGATTCTTAGATATTTTGGCTGAAAAACAAGACAAAGATACTTAAATTTTTTGTTTGTTTTTTTTGCATTGTGGAAAATTCCAGCTAAGTTGGCAGACAAAAGTATCAATTACAGAAAAGTATATTTAAACATATTTGATTATCATTAAAAGTTGGCTGTTTTACCTAATGTTTAGGTGTTCTGTATATATTTGTGATTTTTTTTAAAGAGTATTGTGGCATTAGCTTAGCAACATCCTAATATTATACTCTATTGGAATCAGATGTGGAGCGCTATTTGTGTCAGTGTTGTTGCCTTTGTAGAATGTTCCAAATAGGTTCCATTTCAGTTAGAATGCTCCTTATGTAAGTAGCAGATTAGCAAAGCATCTCACTATTTGTTTTTTAGATGCATGTTTTTTCTAATTCTTCAAACTCTGTTAAAAATTTGCCAGGCTGACAATCCTTTACTTCTATCTCAGGAATGTTCGACTTACTCTGAAACATGAGGTGTCTGTTAGTGAGAAATTGAACTCTATTCTTTCCCCCAGTGGCGTTTCATGTGTTTTATCCCCCAGTCTTGAGTTCTTCATGGAGAAGAGAAGAGTTAACCTGGCTGGTCTATTTCAGGCCAGTTCAAAATGAGCCGTAATGATGATGCTGTTTCTGTGGTCACTGACTTTATGCATGCCTTGGAGTTTTATTGATTCTGGTTATGGTCAACAGCCAAGTTAGGAGGATGGCCTACTTTCACCCATCTGAGCAACCAGGCTGGAAAAGTTTAAACACTTCCACTGTTCATTTTGCACACTTTTCGGCTTACAGTTATGCATTCATGTTTACCAGCAAATTCAGCTAGTATTTTTTTTTTTACTGATGTTTTTGCTGAAATTTTTCCTGCTAGGCCTATTTTATAAAATATAGTTGTTGTTTTTTTGGGGATTTTTGATTTGCATTTCCATAGGAAATTGACTGGAACGTGAAAGCGTATGATCTTTTATTAAAATGACCGACACAGTTGAATTTTAATTTGGAGTGTGCATTAAGAAAGTACATTTTAAAGTCATTTTGATGTTACTAGATTATTTATGTGATGGAAATATTTTAATGATGGAAAACAGTCATTGAAGGGATTGTTTGGAATATTGGATTATCATTATACCTTCATGTTATGATGTACACTTCAAAAGCATTATGAAATTATAACCAAAGGCCAGTATTATAAGTGCCGTGTGCAAAATGATTCACTCTGTTTGCATGTTGAGCAACTTTGTTGTTTGCGGAGTTTAGTTATTTCCTCTTTCCTTACTAACTGCAAAGCAGTATTTTCTTAAAGGGGTCATATGATGCTGCTAAAAAGAACATTATTTTGTGTATTTGGTGTAATGAAATGTGTTTATGCGGTTTAAGGTTCAAAAAACACATTATTGTGTTCCTATAAAGTTATTCCACATACTGTACATTATTGTTTCTCTATGCCCCGCCTTTCTGAAACGCGTCGATTTTTACAAAGCTCATCAGTCTGAAAAAGCGAGGTGTGCTCTGATTGGCCAGCTATCCAGTGCATTGTGATTGGCCGAATTCCTCAAGCGTGTGACGGAAATGTTACGTCCCTTACCATATTGTGATGCCTGCGGCAACCACATGTGACGACCCCGGGCTGGACTCCGCTTCGTCCACGGTGAAAGCCGATCCGGCGATCGACAGCGCGAAGTTGTTGTATTTCCTCAGCAACCAGCACGGATCAGCTCCAGGCATGACGAAGCGGATATCGTCCTCTTTTGGAAGGCCAAACAAAGTAGTTTCGCTTTCACAACGAATCACACAGCGTCTTCACGACATGGCGGCGGCGGCGGCAACAATACTACAGCGAGAATAAAAGTTACGCCTTCTTTCTTTGCGTGAACATTTGGGCGGCGTTATGCAAATCTTCCCACACAGTGATGTAGGTATGTGGGGGCGTGTTAGAACGAGCCGTTTTAGGTAGGTGTGGCTGACTCTTAACTTTTATAAAGAATATCTCTTTGGATTTGAGACTTTAGTCTTTGCAACTTTACAGATCTTCTTTATGCACCAAGAGCTTGTAACACTCCAAAGAGAAAGGAAAAATTGAAATCGCATCATATGACCCCTTTAAGCGTTTTTCTTATTTTTATTTTAAAATCTTGTTTTATATACTTAATCATTTGCATTTATTACTTGAGTAAATGTATATTCTTTTAAAGATATTTTTTTTGTCTTGTTTTATAGTAAAAACTTTTATGCAAATTTTTGTCTATGGAATGACCGTAAACCATGTGTGACTATAGTGCTTTCTAACTCTTATGTTGCTATGCTGGGATGCAGTTGCCATGTCGATATTGACACCTATGATGTAGCAGCTGTGGCTTTGTACTGTATATTTATAGAGATGTGCTGTCTATTCACGGCAGATTCACGGCAGCACGCTGACTCTAACCGTGACCACAGTTTCCGGCGAGATGTAGCTACACAGATGCAATTGCCACTCGTGATCAGAGTTTATTGCAGGGACATGCTTTAGGCAGATTAAATAAAGGAGCTGTTTATTCTGAGTCAGACGCCGCAAATAATAAGGTCAGATGGGGAGCTGCAGGCCTGAGAAATAAAGGGTAGGGGCGATAGGTTCATCCAAAGAGCACCAGTAATGGCACCTTATCTCGTTTTTTTTAATTAAATCCTGAAGTTCTTGTTTACAAATGATTGATCTAATTGAGATGAATGAGACTGACTGGGACTTGTTCCAAAACAAAAAGTGAAAGGTTAATAGTAAGAAACAAAGTAGGCCAGTATGGAATGTAGGACTGTAAAACCTAATAAATAAAATCAATGAAAATGGTTGTTGACATATGTCATTATTGGATGGTTGGTTCTATGTGCTGTCAAGGACAACCTTTGTCAGTAAATGTCAGTTTGCAGTGCTGAAAATCTGGGCTAGGATCAAAAATGCATTCATAAAATGGCACAGAGTGACTTTTGATGATGAGTTATCCAAAGAAATTGGGGGGAGGTTTGTTTTAAAATCTTTAAAGAAGGCAATTAACGTATTGTTTCATGTGTCTAGGCTAGCGTTTAATGTGATTCAGAGGTGTTTTTATGCCAGTCTGTACCTTATTTTAATGTAATATTCCTATTTGTATGTTTTAAATTAAAGTGAGTATTTGCAAAATAGTGATTAATTGAAGAAATAATCGATTAATCACTCATGTTAGTTGCAGTCCTAATTCTTTGCTGGTCTGTACCTTATTTTACAGTAATATTCCTGTCTGTATGTTTTATAAACTTAAAGCAAAGTGGGTATTTTGTAAAACAGTGATTATTGATTAATCACTCATATTAGTTACTTTTTACTTTACATTTACTTTTAGTCATTTAGCAGACGCTTTTATCCAAAGCGACTTACAAATAAGAAAAAGTAATTAAAACTAAAAGCTAAAACTCTATAAATACTATATATATACACATTTAAGAAAATAAAATAAATTAAATTAAAATGACAAATGCATACAACAACATTTCAAAACTAAACATTTAAATGAAAACAAAAAAATGAAGCTAAAAACAATTCAAAATATTAAAAGAACAAAAGGTATGAGTATAATAATGATTCTAACATAACACTAAGCCAAACACCAAAAAACAACTACATGTGTGTATGTACAGCCACACACATATACATGTACATATATATATATATTGAATGTATTTATATATATATATATTATTTCATTTCCATTTTGTATGTTGAAGTACTGAAATAACTCAAATAAAACTAAAACTTAAAAAACCTATATAGACATAATAAAAAAACTAATAAAATGACAACATTACTACAACTGTAACTAAAACTAAAATAGATAACTAATACAAATCAAACTACATTAGTTTATCAGTAATCCTAAAAAAATAACACTGAGCCAAACACACATGCTAAAATAACAACAACTTACTGACACATAGTAAGAAATGGTTATAAAAAAAGTATATAGTTGCATGCCTAGTTCTTTTTTTAGATTTATTTTTGGCATTTTCACCTTTATTATGATAGGACAGATCAGAACTGACAGGAAGTGAAGTGAAAGAGAGAGAGAGGGGCGGGATCGTGAAAGGTCCTTGAGGTGGGATTCGAACTCGGGTCGCCTGTAGCACAACAACACTGTATGTCACCGCGCTGCCCACAAGGCTATCAGCGCCGACTGCATGCCAAGTTCTTTGGCAGTCTGTACATAATTTACTGTAATATTCTTATTTGTATGTTCTATAAACTCGAAGTAAAGTAAGTATTTTGCTAAATAGAGTGATTCCCACTAAAAAAAAGAGTGATTAATGGAAGAAGTTATCAGTTTATTACTCAAGTTAGTTGCAGGCCTAATTCTTTGCCAGTCTGTACAGTATTTTACTGTAATCTGTAGGCCCCTATGTTTTATAAACTCATACTTTGCAAAATCAGGTTTTACGTGTTGCAGTTTCAGTCTTAATTCTTTGCGTCCTCTTTTCTAGGTGCTAGATGGTGGTTGTGAAGGCAGTGCGTAATGCTGAAGGGGCTCGTCCTGAGTCAGAATGAGTGTCAAAGATGGCGATGGGACGACTAGCCAAGATGGAAAGGCCTACGAACTTCAGATATACCCCCGACTCTCTCTGGAGACGGCATCGTGCTGTACACTCAGAGTCACCAAGGAGGCCACCGCAGCTAGCGTCATACGGGATGCGGCAGCGACCCTTGGACTGGACGCCAGCAAGCTCTACGTCCTGGCCGAGGTGAAGGAGTGCGGCGGGGAGGAGTGGGTGCTTGAATCAACCGACCTTCCGGTGCACAGGGTCCTTCTCTGGCCGAGAAAAGCCCAAGAACAACATTCTCAGAAAGAGGGATTTTACTTCCTCCTCCAGGAGCGCAACCACGATGGCTCCATCCGCTACGTGCACCTGCCCGCCGTGGGGAACGAACAGGAGTCCAAGCGACTGGTTGCTCGGGGCTTCCTCCCACCCCAGCAGGAGGACTTCGAGGACCTCTGCAACCTTCCGGTCCTCAGTGAGGACAGCATCTTGGATAACCTCCGCATTCGTTTTCAGAAGAATAAAATTTATACATACGCTGGCAGCATCCTCATTGCCATCAATCCCTTTAAGTTCTTACCCATTTACAACCCCAAATACGTCAAAATGTACGAGAACCACCAGTTGGGCAAGCTGGAACCTCATATTTTCGCCATTGCTGATGTAGCCTACTACGCCATGTTGCGCAAGCATGTCAACCAGTGTATCGTTATCTCAGGAGAGAGCGGATCAGGCAAAACTCAAAGCACTAACTTCCTCATTCACTGCTTGACGGCTCTCAGCCAGAAGGGTTATGCAAGCGGCGTGGAACGAACCATCTTGGGTGCTGGACCTGTGCTGGAGGTAAGATCATCACCACCACCTTGATGCAAACTTGGTTTGGTTACATTCGTTTGCAAGCAAATTCGGGAATAGTAGATTCGTTCAGGGACTTACTGGGACATAGGAAAGTACCAACATCATCTTGGAGAAGTTCTGAGCTTGAGTCTCTAGAGTTTCGAAACCTTTGCGATGCTTTGTTTTAGTGTATTGAAAGGGTGAAGGTAAAGGAAGTTAACTGATGGGTTCACATGTCTACCCCCAAAAATGGTAATGATTTGTAAGAACCCTACAATTTGATTGTCAATGCTGGATGTCTGCACAGTATTCTATCTTTTTTGAGCATTATGCATTATTTTTGTGTATGACTTTGATTCCTTGGAGACTTACTTCTACAGATAAGCTTTTTGGTTGGAATTGTAGGGTCTGGAAAAGCACTCTGCTTTAAACATTCGCAAGGCAAGCTTAGAATAATTGAATTCAGGATCAGTGGATATGTTGGAGGACTTACTGGGATATGGGATAGGTGAAAACTGTTTCTCATAATGCCAAATTGCTCTGATATTTCATGCTGTACAGATTCTAAGCTCAAGTCTCTAGAGTTTTAAAACCTTTCACAGGTTTTGTTGTAGTTACTGAGATGGTTAAAATTAAGGAAGTCCGTTGATAGGACTGCGGTTTGCAGTTGTCAACCTTAGAACTTGTCAACCCCAAAAAATATTCATGTTATATAAGAACCCTACAGTTGATTGGGTGTTTGTGTAGTATCATTATTTGAGCATTATACATTCTTTTTTTTTTTTTTTAATCCTTGGAGGCTTGCTTCTACAAAATGGCTCTTTGGTTGGAATTGTAGGGTCTGGAAGAGCTCTCTACTTTAAACACTGCTTCGTAACAATCATAATGACAGCTTATCTACAGATCTCTCAGTCTTCACTGTAAACTGTAGCTCTTTAGATCAGTTATTTACATAGTGCTTTCCCACAAGCCTGTGCTTGAAACCCGGGATCACAACTTGCTGTACTTGCATAGCTCATGTTGCAGTACTGGCTAACCTACATCTGGAGGCCTTTCTCAGGGGTCGTGTCTCATGCAGTTCTTGTTGTTTCAGGCACATTCTGTTATTTTGCAAAATATCAGCAGAAACCCTTCCCCAACTCTGATCTCATGGCGGTTTATGGTAGTGGTAACCCTTGTGCTGGGAAAAACTAACTTTCGAGACTCAAGAGCGCATTTGGAGAACGGTTAGGGTGGATGTTGGGATATTTTCACAGCTTGAGGGTTAGCATCTAAAGATTCCTGTCAAGTCATTCTTCTCGAGATTTCACTCTTGCATACAAGTGCTGTTTTTGAAGTTCTCAGTCAGACAAAACCAACCCACTCGGCTTCTGAGATTCACATCTCTTCTCAGTACTTCAGAAGTTTCCTGTACACATGATGTCATTAGAAATTCTTTGGTGTCATTTCTTATCTCAGCCCCCTTTATCAGAATAAAGTTCGCTTGTGTAGCAAGTCCCGAAAGAGATGAAAGATGTCAAGTTTTGTGTTGACGCTTGCCTCAGTGTTGGTTGTTTCTGAAAACTAGAAGTCATTTCTCCGCAGTCAGCACAGTCATTGTCCTTTGGCAGACGCGTCTTCAGGCTTCGTTACAAAATATTCCCCGCCTCTCTGCACTTGTGGTGAGAAGCAGCCTGTGAAACTGGTCAATTGAACACTGCGACCAGAACGAGCCTCAATCCAGACGTTTTCAATGATAGGAGTCAGATCTCCCTGAGGTTTCTCTTCCTTTTATGGTCTGATGAAGTTGATTTGTCTCATCCATCTTCCGAGACTTTCAATTGGTGCTGATTTTTAAGAAAGGACGCAATATTCCTTTTATTATTCTTAATTATATAATATTTTTTTATTATTATGTTTCCATATGTGAGTCAATGCAAAGTTCCTTCTTGTCCAGCTTTCCACGTGTCTGAATAGTGATTCTTTTGGTTATTTTGACCACTTGACTATTTGACGGGTACATCAGCTGATGTCCCATTTCTAACTAGGGATGCACTGAATGTTCGGCAACCTAAATTATTTGGCTGAAAATAGCGGAGAAAAAAAAGCTAAGCAAAAAGACAGAATAAATTGTACCGAACAATGACATTTTTGTTGACGCGATCAAATAGCAACCAGTGTATAGTGAGAGGCGTGCACTCTTTGTAATGCTGCAAACATGTTGGCAGTGTGGAAGCATTTAAAAGTGTCGGAGAAAGACGCAAAAATCTTTACAAGCACCGACAGCGAGTTTAGTTTAGTACTGCATCGCATGTCTTCAAAGAGAAGAGGAAGGGTGGTTGCTGCTGGTTACAATATGGTGATTGCAATCGAAATCGTAAAATGGCCTTAAACAATTAGTAAATAAACTGCAGAATGTTATGTTTTCTAATACATGCACGAATTGCATGTATTCTGTATTGTGAAATAAACAACTGTTTTGTATGTGAATGTATAGTAAAATGTAATTGATTGCTGTGATCAAAGTTGAATTTTTTAGGATCATTACTCCAGTCTTCAGTGTCACAGGGCCTTTCAGAAATCATTCTGATATGCTGATTTGCTGCTCAAAGTGTCCATCACATGCCTGATTCAAGAAGGGGGTCTCAAAAATACTGCTGTTAAGCTAACTGAGACTTGTTGTAGTACTTGCATATCATTGCTCTTTTGTTGATTTTGATTGCTTCTATCGTCCTCATTTGTAAGTCGCTTTGGATAAAAGCGTCTGCTAAATGACTAAATGTAAAAATGGCCACAAAATATTTTTAATTTTACGTTAAATTGTGCTTTGTTGGTATAATGTCTGCTAGAATGTTAAACAATATTCAGTGTTAAATAAATATTTTTAAATCGTTGTTTTTGTAATTGATTTTTTCTTTGAAAAGCAAGACAAAACCGTAAAAAGCTATTTAATTTATGCAATGGTGAAAAAAATGGCAAAATACATGCGGGAATAAAACGCAAAGAAAAAAATTAAACGTGTTCGTATTCCGCCTTTGGCCCAGTGTTTCATTTTGTTTGGTTTCGGCCAAGAATTTTAATTTCGGTGCATTCCTACTGGAAACTTTCCAAAAGTTTCTGGAATGTTTCACTTTGCAACCCTAGTCCCAGTTTCTTCTACCAAACTTCCAACTGTGAAATAGTTCGCTGGCTTTAATTGTCACCTACCGAGGCACCTCACCCAGCAGCAAATAGTTTTGTCTAGGTTTTGCCTTAAACTCTATTAAAAGCAAATTCATGGACAGTGACTCAATGTAAACTGTAATTTTGCAATCCTTTCTTTTTAAAGCTGCATGTTATTGTCTCCGTTTCGATTTGCATGATGTAAACAGAGATGTTTGGCACCTGTTGTCGTTGATCAACACGTCGGACCGGTTTCGTGCACCTTTTCACCGGAGTTACTCTCTTTCGTAATCCCCCTCCCACAACTGTACTGCTTTGTTTGAGCGCATATTTGGCCTTCACGTCAACGCATGCATACTAAATACCAGAAAAAGCATCTTCAAGGGTGAGTAAACCGCGCTATTTGACCTATTAATGTGGTAAATGCTACAGGACAGTTTGGAATCCATCAAGCCAAAAATTAGCTTTTCTTCCAGATCCAAATGGCTTTTATGGGTTACGTCATTGAGTATCAAATAACAGGAGAGTTAGGAGACTCTGCAAATGGCATTGAGCTCTCAAATGGCTCTGCAAACATCTTTGCTTTCTGTTTTCAGATGTTTCTGTGCAACAATGTGGCTTTCGATCGCACGTAGTGCTCATATTTATACATGCATGCGAGTCCTCTGAAGTAATGCTTCTGCTGCCCGCAGACAGGAACTTCCCTCTGGCTGATCACTTCAACAGGAAGCATTTTTTTGCAACAGGAAGTGGTAGCTGTAGAGCCTTCGCTCCCCATTGGCCGGTCTGCTCACTGGGTGTCGAGAGTCAGCGTATTGTTCCTCAGGAAGTCGTAATGGCTATTTCGTGGCCATTGTTTATCTCTCGGCTTTGTGTTAGTCTTGTGTGGTGGACTTTGGCTCCTGAGACGGTCTGAGCTATTTTTGGTGGGACAGCCGTAATGAGACACGTGGGATGTCGACATGTGGAAAAGTCTACAATAAAATGGCCCAAGAGTCCATTCTGTCATTACAGTCGCGTTGGAGACCTAATAACCTCGATCGTCTCCAGTTTCCAGCAAACTGTCTGTTAATTTAAAGAGCTGAATGCATTTGCAGGCCTTTAAACTGTAGTCAAACACTCTAACTTGGAGAGTTCATATCATATTTGTGTTTATTAGAGCGATTTCTGAACTGCTGCACCATTTTTAGGACTATTTTTCTTATAAGCGCTCCATGTGCCTTTTCATTCCCTTAAAGGCAATTTGCACTAATGTTAGGGCAGCCATCACAGTTTTTGTCCTAGTACTTCTAGTTAGTAGGGCCCTATGAAATCCGTTTTTCCCAAATTCCATTTTATTGTTTTCCAAATTCCGTTTTTCCATTTGAATTTTTCTGGATTCAGTTTTTTTTTTTCTTTTCTCGGTTTTAATTTTTCTAGAATCTATTTTAATGGTTAAATTAAATTGTATTAATCAAAAAGCATGTCTAATTAATTGAAATCATGAAACGTACAATATTAAACAGCAATTTATTAAAAGTTTAACAAAAATGAAATTTTTAAGGCCCTATGAAATGTTTTTTTTTTCAAATTCAATTTTATTTTTTACCAAATTCCGTTTTCCATTAATTTTCTGGATTCCATTTTAATGGTTTCTTTAAATATTAAGAATCAAGAGCATCTCTAATTTTTTCCCAGAAATACTGTGTTGTGTATTTACATTTTTCTGCTAAACAGATACTGGTATTACTGTGTTGTGTATTTACAATTTACAGTTATTTAATAATAATTTGTAAGTATTATATTTCTGTCACATTTTCTTCAAGTTAAACCAAATATTTATTTTGACGGGTTGCAGTGAAGACCTTTAGGTTTCTGTTTGTAGC